TATTATGGTTTATTTATATTTCATCACACACTTGAAATTCTGTTTTGAATTTATTGGCTTCCTTTATTGCAGAATAAAGTTTCTTATTTCTTTCATGTTCTTTGGCTCAGATCATCATAGAGACTTCTGCAGTTTTCCAGCTATCTTCGATTGTTGCGGTTTTGTAAGACAGTTCTAGTTGAACTAATCCTCTGCCTCTTTCAGATCTGAGCGCATACAGACGATCAGCATCAGCAGTGATAAGTGAGAAGCTTTCTCGTTTATTCATTCATTCGCTTAATGTCAGCCATGCTCAAAATAAGGATGTTGAAACTGTATTGCACCACAGAGACAGCCAAAGTGTTTATGGCTGATATTCTGTTTCGTGTATTCAACGGTATTTAACGCACACGCCTGTAGTATTCTTTTCTTACTTTATTTCACTGACTCCCAGGTATTTATAGGCTTCTTCTTGTTCCAGTTTCCTAATCTTTGTGACAATGTCGAGATCTATTGAGTGTGTTTCTGCAATTCTCTCTTTCTTGAATGTTACTTTTGCACATGTATCTAATTCGAAATCCATACCGTTTTCATCACTGAAGCATTTTACAATATTGAGGACACCCTTTAACTTATTGTCGACGTTGGTAATCACCCATGTAGAATAGTTGATATTTTTAACTTTGTATTCATAGTTATTACTGTTTAGCCCATGCGAAAGGGGGATTAAAGACAGACAGACGAGAAGGTTAATATTATTTTATTTCCTTTGATTCCTGATGTATATTCATTTCTTTCCGGGTCCCAACCAGAGACCTAAGTTCAGACGTGGCATCATGACATTTTCCACAGAGCACTTTTTGAAAAAAAATCACATATATTTGACACAGATAAAACCCTTCGTAAGGTGTGAGCTGTACTTGTGAGTAAAATGCTTTATATTTCTTTAAGGCTTATGCTAACAGGGATCCCTTCAATGAATCTATCAGAACCTTTTCCAATCAAACCCGGGCTCCAACTACGACTGGAATTATTGATGCCATCATGTACCATGTTTCCACTTCAAGATCTTTGTATTTTTGTTAGTTTTTTTTTTTCTTTTTTTTTTTTTCTTTTTATTGAGATCTTCAAAGATACATTACAATCTGCAAGGATTGCCATGTCAATAAGAAAGCATATTCTGTTTTGCGTCTGTTTAGTTCATACGAAAGGGGGACTGACGACAGACAGAACAGAACGGGCGACAGGGTGTCTCCTTGAAAGATTCCTCGTCAGATATTCAAACTGGAACTGACAGTAACTTTGATGTGATTTAGATATGACGTGGTTTTCCACAGCTCCGTGCTATATTTAAACAAAGTTTCTATCACCGAGGAAATTTTGTACATTTCCAAAGCCTTAAGGATCCAAGAGTGTGGCACACTATCAAAGGCTTTACGGAAATCTATTATTATTATTATTATTATTATTATTATAAATATGTATGCTGAGACCAGTGCCCTAAATATTGTTGTCTGGTCCCCTGTGTAGAGGTCTCTCAAGGCCCTTTGTGAGACAAACCTCTACTTTTCTTCCTTCTTTTCCTCCAACCCTGTTAAGGCCCGCCCCAGTCGGTCGCATTTTACCCCACCATCTCCGACAGGCTGTACAAAGCTATGTTTATGTAGAGTTATTTATTAGCTCGTTCGAGTTATGCGTTGAGGACTTCCTGGAGCGTAAAATGACGTACGCGGCCAACCGTAAAATCAAGTCGATCAATTTCTACCGCAAACAGCAATTAATGGCGGAAATCGCCGACAACCAACGACTCCATCCGACAAAAGCCGATGTTGAACGATGTCAATAATAAAAAAAAAAAAAATGGCGCAACGATGCATTACCAAGCATTTAGAATATTTCTCTATTAGATAATTTTTCTTTTCTTAGTATAAAATATGAGAAGCGCAGGAAACAATCTTTTCACTTTTCCTTTTTTTTTTCTGCCGATCTTTGTAAACATGATTTTGTTTTTATTTTCTTAACGTTTTCTTTTTCTTTCTTCTCCTGTCGTTCCTTTTAGTTATTTTCCTTATTTCTTCTTCTTCTTCTTCTTCTTCTTCTTCTTCTTCTTCTTCTTCTTCTTCTTATTATTATTATTATTATTATTATTATTATTATTATTTAAGAGCGATTTAAGAAAATAAAACTTAAGAAAATATAGTGTTTAACAACCTTTCGGCAATATGTCTGTCTTCAAGTTATGTTTTAAATTTTCATACAAGTATAAATATATGAAAAAATATATGTAAATAAGTTCGCCTCTCATCCGGTTCACACTACTCCTCATTTGATCAGGAGTAGAGGTTTATCCCTTGTCACCTGTTTAAGATTGGGTTTCCGATTCCTTCTAAAGTCTGTTTCAACTCTATACTTTTAACGCTTGTTCTTCTCAACGCTAATATAAGCATACACAGTAACCCTCTACACTGATTGGCTCTTGTGTCTTGTATTGGATGTACATTATTTTAAAATGTCTTTGTACAAATTCTGCTTGTATTGAGAAAAACGGTCGTAATTGTAATCAAAACGACGAAACGAACGAACGGAACGCAACCAGCATGAATGGAATGCAACTGAAATGCGAGTTACATGATAGGGTCATGCTCGTCTTGAAATTTCCCGTTAGTTGATTAGTAAATAAAAGGAATTAATTAAATAGTTTAGTATAAATCTTATGGAAGTCTCCTGTCATTTCATTCATTCTCCCCGGGATGGAATAATAATAATAATAATAATAATAATAATAATAATAATAATTCTGTGATAATTACCCAGAAACAATCGATCATCTTGTATCAGCTTGCACGGTATTGGCACCTACTGAATATAAAACCCGGCATGACAGATTTGGCCAATATCTGTACTGGAAAATCTGTAACTTCTACGGGAAGGAAGCTGAAAGAAAATAGTATGAACACCACCCAGACCCGATTACGGAGATAGGACCTGTTACCATTTTATGGGACTACACAATACACACATACAGAACAATCAAAGCTAACCGCCCGAACATTGTAATTAGAGACCGCAAGCAAAAAAGTGCCTCCTTACTGATATGGCAGTCCCTGCAGACTGCAATGTATCTTTGAGGATCTTCAAAAAGCTGTCAAAATAGAAGGACCTTGAAATCGAAATCTCAAAAATGTGGCACATGGGAACATCAACAATCCCTGTTGTAGTTGGAGCCCTCAGATTGGTTGGAAAAGATTCCAGTAGACTCAGTGAAGGGATTCATGGAAGCCCATGCCTTAAAGAAATACAAAAAAAATGTTCTCACGAGTACAGCCCACACCTTATGAAGGGTTTTGTCTATGTAAAATATGTGGTTTCATATATCATGATGACATTTCTAAACTTAGGTCCCTAGACGGGACCAGGAAAGAAAAGAGTACACATCAGAAATCAAAGGAAATAGAATAATAATAATAATTATAATAATAACACTTATAATATTAATAATAATAATTATAATTATATTTGTAATAATAAAAATAATTTTAATAAATAATCAAAATACAAAGAACTTGAAATCAGAATCTCAAAAACTTGGCACATGGAAACATCAACAATCCTCAGATTGGTTGAAAATCTAAGAATGAACTCAGTGAATAATTCCTGGCAGTAGGAACTTAAAAAAATAATAAAATTTGTTCTGAATAATGATAAAAATAACAAACATAATAAAAATTTATGAATTATGTGATTTAATAATTTTTACTGAATGAAAACATAATTATTTCGGTTAATTTTAACATAATGATAATAATAATTAACCCATGATGATATTAAACAAACATAAGAAATAAAACATAATAATAATAATAATAATAATAATAATAAAATAAACAAACATTTAAACAGTGTAGAACAAATTATACTAAGAAAAGGTAACAAAAATGAAATTTTCCTATAAGGCCTAGGAAATGGACCTGGCTTCAAGAACTTTCCACTGATATAGAAAAAACATAAAAATAAAATTATAATAATAAAATAAGAAGATGAAGAAGAAGAAGAAGAACAAGAAGAAGTAGATTTTTGAGGCAAATGGACTTCCAGGAATCCCTTCAATTAGTCTACTGCAAGATGATTTTTCCAACCAGTAATAGGGCTCCAAATGAGAACAGGGATTGTTGATGAAATGTGAAACATTTTCGAGATTTCTATTTCAAGGTCCTCAAATTGACAACAGAAGAAATAAAATATAAAAGTATTTTGTTCCTTCCTATTTTCCTTCTTCTCGTTTTTTTATTTCATCTTTTTTTCTTTTCCTTTTGCTTATTCTTCTCATTTTTTTTCTTACGTTTTCTTCTTTTTGTGTTTACGCTTCTTCTTCCCAGTCCTCATTATTTTCCATTATCATCATCATCATCATCATCTTCTTCTTCTTCTTCTCATTATTCCATTATCATCATCATCATCATCGTCATCATCATCATCATAATCATCATCATCATCTTCTCCTCAATTCTCATTATTCCATCATCATCATCTTCTTCTTCTTCTTCTTCTTCTCAATTCTCATTATTCCATTATCATCATCATCATCATCATCATCATCATCATCATCTTCTTCTTCTTCTTCTCATTATTCCATTATCATCATCATCATCATCATCATCATCATCATCATCATCATCTTCTTCTTCTACTCAATTCTCATTATTCCATTATCATCATCATCATCATCTTCTTCTTCTTCTCAATTCTCATTATTCCATCATCATCATCTTCTTCTTCTTCTTCTTCTCAATTCTCATTATTCCATTATCATCATCATCATCATCATATTATTATTATTATTATTATTATTATTATTAAAAACAAAATTATTGACGTAAATCTTTGCATATTTTTCGACAATTTAGACAAGAGCGCGATTTAAGAAAATAAAAGGAAATAAAATACACAGTGTTTAACAATGTTTCATCATTTTGTCTGTCTTCTTTAAGTTATGGTTTAAATTTTCATACAAGTATAAAAATATGAAAAAAAATATTCCATTTACTTTCCTTCTTCTTTTACTACCATTGTTGTTCCTTTTTCTTTTTCTTTCTTCAACCTCCTGTTTACATCTATCTTTTTTTTTCTTCGCCTTCTTCTCTTTTAATACAGTTATTCTTTCCTTCATTTTTCTTCACCATTTTTTCTTCCCTTACTTCATATTGCAAACTTCCCTTTTCTTTCATTTTTTTTTCAATCTTCTTTTCGTTCGTTTATTTTCTATCTTCGTTTTTACTTGCTTATATTTTTATCTCTTTTTCTTATTTGCTTCATCCCCCACTTTCGTTTTTTTACGTATTTCTACCAGTCTTGCGAAAGGACAACAGAAAGAGAGGTCACAGTGGGGGCCCAGACACGCATTAACAACTGCTAACCCCTGCTCCACGGTAAAATGCCCATTATTTTTCTTATTAGTTGCTGTTTAGGACTTTTTTTTACCATATTCAATTGCCATTTTTTTGGCCGCCACCGTCTCCCTATATTATAATTTATCTTTTTTCCTGATTTATTTACTGCTTCTTTCACAAATGTTCTAGATGACCATTGGAACGTGGGCGATCATTGCTCTCCACGATTACCCCGCCTTTGTAATTCTCTCTCTCCTTTGTAGATCCGGCTAGTATTAGAGTCAAATTGGAAACCAAGACATAGGTTCGTTTTCTTAAAGAAAAAAAAGGCAAACATGGGTTCAGTTTGCACTATTAGTTAGAAAAAACATCACAAAGGAGTAGAACAGATCTTACACTTTGATCCGATATTTACTCCCCACCACCACCACCACCACCACACACACGCACACGGTGTCGGGATGACTTTTTTAATGTACGGTCCCCATACGTGTACATATGGACTACGAACTAAAATAGCCCAATGGAATAAGAGACCGCTGTCACGCCCGCGATGATATCCACCTACCACTCCCTTTTAATGAATACTGAGCTGTTACATGACATCCATCCTCCTTTACGGCAGCGAATTTTGAGCGGTCTTCACAAAGATGAAGAAGAGACTCGAGGAGACGGAGATGTGATTCTACAGAAGGATGCTAAATGGACCAAGCGTGTGAGCAACGATAAGGTCTTAGAGAAGTTAAAAACAAGGAGGAAGCTTATATTTAACATAAGGAAGAGGCAGCTGAAATTTCTGGGACAAAATTGAGAAAGGACCAGTGAATGAATCTGATATAAAACCCAGTCTGTCCACAGGTCGAAAAGAGGGAAAGGAAAAGAGAGACAAGGAAAGTAACGCATGACATACCTGGCTGGTTTAAATAATGAATTTGAACAGAACGTAGTCTAGGGGATCCAAGCAGAGAGACGAAACTTATTGAGATATATAAGGGATAAAGGCAAAAATTTTATGTTAACATGATCGCCTACGCCCTGAAAGGACACGGCACATAAAAAGAGGTCCTATACAGATATATATATATATATATATAGCGTCATAATTTTAAGAGAGAACAGATATTACGCTTTAATCCCAGCCTGATGGCCGGGTAAAGGCGGGCCGGTATTTACCTAGCTATCCATAGGTGAAGAACATATACTACACTTTGATCTGCTGTTTCCCGGCTTCGCCCTAGATCTCCACGGTGGTAGTATGTGAAAGAAAATTTTTAAAAAAAGTACATTTTGATTGAATGTTTTCATAGATACTGTCATGTTGAGTATACATTATTTACTGACAAAGAAGAAACCCACAATAAGAGAAGGTGCTGCCAGAGATTTTATTCCTTCATTATTTCTCTGTGAACTGTTGGGAGCGGGGCAGTTACTACACTTTGATCTACTCTTTAGCGGCCTTCCCACGGTGATAGGATGTGAAACAACGATCCATTTTAATAAACGTGGTAATATATATATAATTCTATATATATAAATATAGATATCACACATTGATCTCTTATTTACTTTCCCTCCATCATGGTTTTTTTAATGCAGCGAGCCGAACTTTTATGGGACAAGGACAACAAGGTTTTTAATTTAGTTTCCACAATTGTTTTCTCATAATTTGTCATTTACCCATTAATAAATTTTAGTGCAATTGTTCAATTGTTCTGCGGGCGGGTTTGGAATCTCGGCTATACATTTAATCATTTTCAAAGGTTGATACGTGAAATGTCCGTAGAAGAAAAACATTGTATAATTTATAGACGAAGAACAGGTACTACACTTTGATTTTCTGTTTACCGGCCTTCCCACGGTGTTAGAATGTTTTACTTTTTTTTTTTTTTTAAATGTTCATTTTACAAGGCTTTCCTTTTTTATCAAGGTAGAGGGTTACTTTACGTGACTGTATTAGCATAAGAAAGATAACAGCTAACTCTAGACTTGAAGAGGTCAAGATCCATTTAGTGAACATCATTTCAGAGATCAGCCGCAAACGTTAGGAGGATAGGATGGAAGTAGACTTTAGAACAAACCGGAAACCTAGACCTAAACAGGAAACAAGGAATAAAACTCTACGCCTGTTCAAAAGACCAAGGAGGTGTATGAACCGGATGATAGTCGAATTTATCTACTCCTGTTGGGAGAAAAAAATCTGAATAAAATTTCAGAGCTCAGTGGAAAACGTTAGGCGTATATAGCTGTTTTTCACCTAGGGAAGTGTTATGGTCCGGTTCCTTGTACCACGGTGATAGTCCAAGGTAGAACCAATAAAGAAGAACTCAAACACGGATATGGAATAACACAGATATATTACAAACAGGAATATATACAGAGTTTTGAAAAATGTTAGTACGAACAATCAGGTTTAGTAGTAATTGTCTGCACGCGACTCTGTTTGACTGCCTCTGACATCGTTTGACTGACTTAATAATGCTTGCTCTGATTGACTGACAGATTCTGACGGACTAATAACTCCAGACTTCAGACGGAACTCCAAACTTTTGACTGAACTCCCTGCTTCCTCTCATAGGCGCAGTATTTATTACGTATGGAATAGTCCATTATGATATTATGGGTAAGGTCCCATAACAGGAAGGTTACTGAATAGAATAATCACACGATGGTTGGTAATGAACGATAATACTTAGGACAAGAACAACACATATAAGATTCGCCAGCGGCGCGTAGAAGAAGTAGTCAACTGCTAGAAGTGAGTGAAGTGAATTCCACAATGAATCTCCAACTTCAGGATATCTACCAACCGCCCCACGCGGTCAGATGTGACACAAAACCGAATTTAATTCCCCGTAGACCCCCTTATAAAACGGGGTCGGGTAGCTGTTTCCCGAGACGAGACTCTGCCCTTCGACATAGCCTTACCTGGGGATCCTCTCTGCTTGCAGGCAGAGAGTTTGACCAGCACCAATCTCTAACTGGAGACTCACATACACTATTTACTACTGTATTTAAGTGAATGTGTGCATTCACATAAATACAGAATGGGGACCCATTATCGTCCGTAGGTATGCTACAGCAATAGTTGAATTAGACATTAGAAGTAGCCGGAAACCCAATCCTAAACAGGAAAAAAGGGATATGCATCTACTCCTGTTCAAAAGACTGTGAAGGAGTGTGAAACGGACGATAGGCGAATCTATCTACCCCTAAAGGAGAGGATAAATTAATTAGTGAATAAATTTCAGTCGAAGACGTCAGGAGTATAATGATGAAGGAACTGGAAACCCAATGACCGCCGTAGAAAAATATTAGATAAACTTCCGTCTGAGAATCAAGCTGTCAACATGCCGTCACCTTAAATAAATACTTACTTCTGTGGAAAAACTATGCATTTTTTTAAACAAAAAGTAATATTTGTTTTAAACCAGATTAATTAAACTTCAAATCAGCTAATATTTCTCAAGTAAAGTTTCAGAAAAGTATATTTTGTTTTTGAAAGATATTTTTAAGAAATAAAATTATAACTAAAAATGGTCATAAAATCAGCGATTTTTAACAATTTCAAAATAAACTACACCTTGTGAATTTAAATTCCTTTTGAAATATCGCAAAGTATTTTGATTTTTTTTAAGCATTTCAACCCTAGCAAGGCGGGAAGCCACTAGGACGCAAGGGGTTACAGAAGATTTGGAGCAAGATCAGATAGGAGTGATAGAGGAAAGGATGAGGAGAAAGATAGTGGATAGATTAAGGCATCTGGAGATGTCGATTGACATTACATTTGAATAGTTGGAGATTATAGCTATCAGGGAAACAGGAAAAGGGAAGGGAGTTCCACAGGTGAGAGGTGCGAGATATGAAGCTATTGGAGTAGAAGAGGCGGCTACATTTAACAGTTTCAACAGTGAAAGGGTGAGAGCGTGATGCCAGCCTCGTAGGGCGCTTGAATTCGCGAAGTCTGGAAAGCAGCAAAAGGAACTCATCGGAGCAATTACCATGAAAGTATTTGTAAAAAAGACAGAGAGAGGCGATTTGAAGGATCGATTCCGGGGAGAAAAATTTCCTGGCTCGGCACAAGGAGCCAACTTTCCTTGCAGTGGACGAAGCAATTGACTCAATGTATTTGTTCCATCTCAGGTCAGTAGACAACGTGGGACCGAGCAGCCGCAGAGAGGTGCTCTCGGGAAGTTGAGTGTCAGACATTCTAATAGGGGACAGGGAAGGATCTCTGTGGTGATTAATAGAGAGCAGTTTTTGAGGCGTTAAAGTTAACCAGCCAATTCCTGCCCCAGTTCACAACCGATTGGAGGTCCTTTTCGAGACGAACGGCCAGGTTAGTTTATTAGAAATATTAAATTTCATCTATTAGCTTGAAATTAAAACTAAAGTGAAAGCTTAAAGATTTTTTCTTTTTATAAATTCATTTTATATCTTATGTATCGCTTTTTTCTCTTTTTTTTTTTTTTTTTTTTTTGCAATTGTCTATATTTAAATATATATATTAAAAGCGAAAGACATTTTGTGCCGATTAATTTTAACGATCGACTTTGCCAATTTACGAAAAATCCTTCTCAGACAAGGAGGGAATTCCATCAGAGATTGTCCTATGTTCGTAACTTGGAAAAGTCGATCATTAAAATTAATCGACACAAAATGTCTGTCGTTTTAATAGTATTTGCCTTTAAAGAACATTTGCTATCTAAATACAAAGAATATATATATATATATATATATATATATATAGAGAGAGAGAGAGAGAGGGAGAGAAAAGCCTAATTATAGACGTTAAGGAGAGATAAACACACTCTCTGCTTGGTTTTTTTTTTTTTTTGTCACAAACCTCATTGAACAATCATACAAGCCGAAAAATGTCGCCCAAATCATCAAACGAATGACGCGCGCCATTTTTCTAGTCGTTTCAATCTTCATTCTTTGTTGCTCTGCGACGTCTTTCTTTGAAGTCATTTCCCGCCAATGTCATGTAGTCACGGGTAACACCACACACCACACCAATTGATAACGAACGACTTCCTCCT